GGGACCTGGATACATTGATCAGCCCGAGCCAGTCCTGGCAGATTCACTCCGCGTGCCCTTGACTGATTGTGGGCAGAGACCCAGTGACTCATCTCTGGTCACTGCTTCTAGAAAAGGTCCTCTTGCTCTTCTTCGAGAGACCATGGGGAGAAAAAGATCTTGTGTTGCTGGACGCTGCCCCATCTGGGCGTGCCTGGAAGGGCAGCAGCCATCTTGCTACCTGCCGGGAAATGCCATTCCCGGGAATGCAAGGAAAGCAGTGCCTGGAGCTGGGGGTGCCATGCTGTGGCACGCCCTACGGGGGGGGGGGGGGGCCGTGGTGGGGCCGCCCCTCCGGGGGGGGGGGGGGACCCCTCACCATGTAAGCCAGTGTACGTTGGGTTTCCTGGTGTGCGCAGGCCTAGCAGGGGTCCTCAAACTTTTTAAACAGGGGGCCAGTTCACTGTCCCTCAGACCGCTGGAGGGCCGGACTATAGTTTAAAAAAAAAACTATGAACAAATTCCTATGCACACTGCACATATCTTATTTTGAAGTAAAAAAACAAAATGGGAATAAATACAATATTTGTATTTGCATGTGGCCCGCGGGCCGTAGTTTGAGGACCCCTGGCCTAGGGATTCTAACTGATATGTGTCTGAGGCATCAGGGCCAAGTGGGCAGTTGGATACACTCAACTGAGGCCCAGTGGCGAGGTCTGAGCTGGAGAAATATATGTGAGCCCTGGGTGTAGCTTGGGGTAGGGATGAGATTGCCAAGAAGAGAGTAGAGAGTGAGATCGGAGAAAAAATGTGGGAGGGGATGATGAGCTGCAAGCCAGAGAGGTGCCCAGGGAGACCACCTGCGGCCAGAAAGCGCGTCCTGCTTGCCTGTTTACACCGACGGAGACACAGACTAAGGGCATGACAGCATTCCGAGTGCATTCACACTGGACAAAAGGAAGCGGTTAGGAGTGTTTTCAGCGGGGGGAGGAAGTTGGACTTCAGGACCTACCCTGGGGATTAACATTAGGAGACTCTGGCCGCCTGCCGTTCAACCAGAGGCCCTTTTACCAGCATTTCAAAGGCGACCACAGTTGAACAATAACCCAGTTAGAGAATATTTCTCCTCTTTTGAGTGAGGTGGAGACTGGGCGAGCATCCCAAGAGAAGGCACCGGGGTGAGAAAAGGCCCCGAGGTGTGAAAGCCAATGGCAACAGTCACAGAAGTGGTCTGGGGACCAGCAGGGGAAATGAGATGGGAATGAGCCAGCATACGGTATGCCTTGTAAGTCTGGCTGAGTGTAGACTGTATTCAGTCAGCAATGACTTCTTATTCAACGGAAAGCTTTTGAGCAGCGCTAGAGTTGGTCAAGGTGTTCCAGACCAAAGGGAAGGCTTGGGAAGTGAAAATAAAAATGAAGGATCAGAGGACCAGAAGCTACAGGGCCTTGGGAGAGATTCTCAAACTTCAGCACCAGAATCACAGAGGAACTTGTGACAAATGTAAATTCCTGCTACTCGTCCCCCCATATTTTTGGAACCATATGGTACCAGTTCAGCGCCAACAGAAATCCCCAATTTGGGAGGTGGTGGTGGTGAAGTAAACAGTTCAATTATGATAGAGCAGGGCTGTGAGGCGGCCCTGGGAGGGAGGCAGCCCCAGGGGTCTCTGCAGGCTGGAATGTGGACCATGCCCTTGCCCAGAGGGGAGCTGACTTATACAGATAGAAATCCCCGCCCACTAGTCCCTGATTGGCCTGCCTTATGCAAATGAAGACTCCAAATCCTTGTAATATGACTGGTCCAAAAACCACTGTCCTGATTGGTCAGAATGAGTCACTTTGATTAATTAGTGGAGCTATGCAGTGGATTCGACAGGGAAAGTATCGGTCTTATTGGTTGAAATAGGATTCCAGGAATTCCTTTATAAGGCCTGGCTCGGATGCAGGAACACAGGGTTCCCTGCAGGCTCTCCCAGGGGTGCCGTTTGCGGAGGGCCCCGTTGGGGAATGGCTGCTCTGCTCTGCTTTTCCATTGAGCCCAGCGAGCCAGCAGGAGACCTAGTGGGCATCTTCTTTCTCGGGATCCACACGTTCATTTTCCAAAGCCCCTCGCAGGCTACCCTCAAGGGGCGTTTGGTTGGCATCGTCAGTACCCATTAGCTTCCTCCTCTCTGGCATGGAAAGCGGCGTCCCTCTATATTACATAAGGCTCCTTCCAGGTGTCCCCCCCCCCCTGCCCCCCGCCGCCACAGCCCCTC